AAAAACATAAAATATATAAATACATAAAACCTTAATTAAAAACATTACTAAAAAGGAGAAGAAGAGTCCAAGAGGATGAAAAATCTGAGGCTGAAGGCAGAAGGCCTCTATGGGGAATTCTGGGCATTGAAGTCCACCCATGCTGGCTGGGGAATTCTGGGAGTTGCTGGCTGGGGGATTCTGGGAGTTGAAGTCCACCCATGCTGGATGGGGAATGGTAGGAGTTGAAACCCACACATCTTAAGGTTGTTGAGGCTGAGAAACACTGCTCCAGAGAGAGTGTTTTTGCATGTGTTCGTGCACTCTCATCCTGAACTGGCCCGACTCTAAATCCTGCTGAGATGTAGGACTGCGTACTTACAGACTCATCGAACTCCGCCGCAGAGACCCTGACTTGCGTTTCAGCGTAGTGCACGCCAACAAATCAGTGAAGAGGAAAAGGGAACGATCCTTCCTTCCACCCACAGGCTTCTGTAAGGAGATCCAGGAAGGGTCACAAGGAAACCATGCAGGGCTTGTGGGCATGTAAGGGTGCAAGCTTTTGGGCCCCTCAGATCTCTTTTATCTAACCGAATGAAAAGGCACTGTTACACACGGAGCAAACTTCCCTAATGTTGCATCCTGTTGAGCGTTTTTAATGGGAGAGGGGCAGGTTAGTTCGTTCTAGTTGACAAATGCTGCGGGGAATGGATGTCAGCCTCGCAACGTAACCCCCACTCAGGAACCAAAGGCCACAGAGGTCAGGGCTACTTTTATCGTAAGAGTGCTAGGAGCAGAAACGTGCAAGTGTGAATGGGCTCTCCCCTCTCTCACTTCATCTTTGTGTGAACTAGGGAAGAGCTCGTCTGAGACGTTTTTTCCAGTTATTTTCTTGGTCTAGGCTCAAGCCCCACCTATCTTGGTAGCATCTCTTCCTTCTGCCCTTCAAGGCCTTTCCCTATGTCCTCTGCACAGGATCGAGCTTTAAGACGCTACCAGACCTGATTTTTTGCTCGAATTAACAGGGCTCTTTTAGAAACTTTGAGAAGCTGACCAGGCACAACATCTGATATTAGTGGGCAACAGGGAAGGTTTGTCGGTTCTCCTGCTTGGCCCACAGGCCCAATCTCTGGGCTGGGCACATGAGCTTTAAAGGGATTGGATGATGGAACTCCAGCTGTGCAAGACTCCCTTGTATGTCGACAGCTGTGTGATTTCCAATTGATCAACATGAATTTGGGAGTCACCATAATAGGAATAAAAAGGTCTCATTAGTCATGGGAATAACGTTTCTTCAGATTAGGCTTCTGGAGTCAGGAATGCTTGAGGAAAATCCAGGAAAAATCCTTACAAGCTCAAAAACGGTAATTCTGGTAGGTCTCTGCTTCCTGTCTACAGGGGTATATAAAATCTTCTGTTCCACATTTATTGCACTAATGTCTGTGCAAATTAGTAGGGAGAGGCGGCTAAACTATCGCATACTTAAAAAACTCTGATTCTGCTTAAATCTGGTCTCCGCGTCATGGGGCTTCTGTTATTTAACATGGTTTTAAGTAAATTGTCTTTGAAAATAAGTGAATTCTCTATCCTGAATTTTCCGGCTTGAAGCCTTTAATATCTGTGCCCGTTCTCAGCTATTCTGCGAGCAGAATTCCCTGCAATTTTGCTATCAAGCGGCAAAACTAAAATCTGGTGTAAGATGAAAGAGAAAAGGGAGATTTTGCACAACTAAATATTTGTCTCTCCTGATCCAAGGTTCCCATAGAAGCAACGTTTTGATTTGTTATTTCCCCTGGCTGAAATGTTCTGGGGGCACATGGTACAGTCCTCTCGAGGCAATGGTGGAGGAGGCACGGAGGGAGAGGAATGGTTTAAAAGCATCCTTTAATTTATAAGGCAAGGAGCTGAAATGTCCAGGTTACAAGTCTACGTGTTTATACGAAGGGTGGGCTGGTGCTAAAAGGCAGCAAGACAGACGACTGAGAGATGCAGAATTCAGCTTCAGAGGCTGATCCCACAGCAAAATAAATCATTTGAAATAGGGGTGCCCGGGACTGATGCAATCCAGAATCAGCGCACAAAACAGGCTATCAAACCAGAATAGAATTACAGTTCAGTCTTCTGCTTGGGGAAGGAACAGTGGCTTACATGAACTAATTTTCCTTATTTGAACGAAATGGGAAGTTCTGTTTACTCAGAAGCTTCACGTTTCTTCCTCTATCTGTATCTGGGCAGGTGATATGGAAAGGGGAGAAGGGATGGGGTTGTGTTTGCAACAAGAGGCTGAATCACAAACTAGCCAACGATGCTTTAACGTGCAGTAGGGTACCCTCCCAGCCCACACGGTTGGTTTATGGTTCAAGGGCATCTGCAGGGGAGGCCGCTCTTTGAAGAAGGAACTCTTACCATTTCTATCACCATCTCCTGCCGTAAGAACCTCCGAAGGGGAGCCTGAAGCTGGAGAGATGAAAAACCAGATCTATCAGTGCCGCCTCTAAAGCGTTCACTAGCAATTGTAATAATAAATCCAAAGTCACTACAGATAAGTAAAACTCCTTCAAGTTGAACTTAACCACTACCCCTCTATGGACACATCCATTTGGCTTCCTTGACAACAACGCAGAAGAAGGCACTGACGTTGTGTTCTTTGGGGATTGTCTTCACGGACAAAGCCTACGGACCACCAGGAGATGCTAGAGTTGTATGATTAATACTTAATACTTTCTGAAAGCCTCTCATCCAAGTACAAGAAGTCCTCATTTAGTGACCACAACTGGGACCAGCAACTCAGTCGTTAAGCAAAGCAGTCGCTAAATGAAACCACAACTGTGCTTATGATCTTACTTCAGCTTTCCTTCGCTTTACAGATAGTTACGGTGGCACTGAAAAATGGAAGTATATCTGATCCCCGAAGTTCCAGCCATCGCAGCACCCCGAAGTCATGTGATTATGATGGCGCAGGGAGCCATGGTCACGTGATTGCAATTTGCCACCTTTCCTGCCAGATTCCCACAAACAAAGTCAATGGGGAAGCCAGCAGAGAAGGTTGCAAGTCACTCTGGTAAGTTGCTCCTGCCTGCACACACCAACCCCCCGGCTGTGGGGAGTCTCTGCCGGCCCTCCCAGGCCTCCCTCAACTCACTTGTGGCCTCCCAGGACCTCACCCACCCTCTTCTGGCACCCCTGTGCTCCTTGCCTAGGACACCTGCCGCTTCCCGCTTAATGACCCATGCATCTTGGGGTTACGACAGCAACCAGGACTGCCATCGCCAAGTGATGCAGTCATGTGACAATGCGCTTTACAACTGCATTGCTTAGCAACAGCAATCCTGGTCCCTATTGCTGTCATAACCCGAGGACTACTTGTACAGACCTGAGATTGTAAATGCGAGGATTGGTTGTAAAATTACTTTTTCATCAGCATCGTGACTGCAAACTGTCACTAAATGAAGCAGTCGCTAAATGAGGATGATCTGTATTAATCCTACAACCCTAACATCCCCTGGTGGTCTCTTATCTGAACATTACCAGGGCCTGCTTAGCTTTTTTTGAGATCCACCAAGGTTGCCACCTAGTACACCTTATGTAAATGCACCCCAAAGCTGTGACTAATTTGTGGAGGGGACTCAGCCCTATCTGAGAACTTAAGAACTTACATCTTCCATTCCTTCAATATGTGATTCAATCTCCTGCAGTATGCGAGCGTTCCGCTCCACCTCTTCCGCGCTCTTCATCCCTTTATTGATCTTCTCAGCCACCTGCTTGATGCTCTTCTGGGCTTCTATCAAGAATGGATAGTCTGGATGCTCCTCTGAAGTATGTTTCAGAAGGTCCTGGTGGAAGAGAGCAGCCATCGTTAAGCAGAAGACAACCTGGTGGGGAAGCTGGGAAGAAGTTTCATTTCTGCTCACGCACTGTTTGCTAATGGCCTGTGGGGCAAATCAGAGATGAGAAAACAGGCAACAGCAATGGGTCTGGTTGACCCATAGTTGTGGGGCAGAGAAAAAGGAAAACGGTACCAGTAATGGGCAGGAAAGATTATATGGGACCAGTATGCCCAAGAGTGGGTCTGTGGGATGCCTACTGAGACAGGACAGGCTGCAGAAGAGCACTCTTGTAGCTGAACGATCATCTACACGCATAAAGTGAAGAGCTCCTCAAACACAACCCAGCTCCTAGCAACTTCTTGGGTACATCATTCTGTGGTAGAAATACAGACCTGGTTTGTCCCTCCCTTCTTCTCAGATTTTTTTTTTTTTAAATGTCCCAGTCTATTTTATTTTTATTGAATTTATAAGTTCCCCAACTCCATTCAGACTCTGGATAATATACAAAATTCAAAATGAAACAATCCACATAATATTAAAACACAAACTGAAAGTCTGGAGAAAAAACACCACCTTATTGCGAATCAGACAAGCACAAGGGACCTCACACCCACTCTAGCCCAAGGCCTGGGGGAAAAGCCAGGTCTTCAGGGGTCACCTAAACAAAGGGGTGGGGGGAGCCATATGAAGCTCTGGGGGCTGTCACTCCAAGGGTTGGAGCTTCCTGGGTCCCACTGGGTGGCATTGCTTAGTCACGGCCAACTCAGCCATACTGTACAGGCCGAGCAGAGATTGCAGAAGGTCCTTTAGATATCCAGGCCCCATTCCATGAAGGGCTTTATAGATATAACTAGCACCCTGAATTGCACCCAGAAGCAACTTGTGTAGCAGAGGCGTTACATGGGCATAACAAGACCTACCCTTAACTGCCCATGTCACTGCCTTGTGGACCAGCTGCAAGTCCTGAGTGGTGTTCAAGGGCAGCCCTACCTGGAGTGCATTGCAGTAGCCCAATGTGAGGTGACCAACTGTTTTCCTCTGCTTTCTTCTAGGATGCGGTGACTTCTTGGTCTAGCCAACAGCCCTGGACCTTCCTGATGGTCTCCCATCCAATCAGGTCCAATCCCGTTGAGCTTTTCCAAGAACATCCCAAAATGGCTAGGAGCTGCTCCCAGCTGCAGACCATCTATCTACACGTGTGTCTAATGTTCCCTGAAATATTAGCCAGGTTTGCTGATCCCTTTCTCCACCAGGAACAGAGTGTTTTTAAAGGGAGAACTTTCAGATTGGCGATCTCCAGCATTGGCTTCCCAAAGCTGGGGGCCACCAAGGTCTTCCCTGGGACCGACTGAGAGGAGGGCCATGTGATGTCTTCCGTGGCACTGTCCTCTCATCTTCAAGAGCCTTAGGAATAGGGAAAGATGGCAAGCTCAGATTCACAATGATAATATCCAAAGGGTGGAGGAGTTTTGGGCCCCCACGTTAATGTTTCAACAGTCCCATACAACTTTCCCAAGCTCAAACGTGGCTCTGTGTGCTGCAAATTTATTATTTGGGTACGTCAGGTTGAGAGGGCCTGTTTAGCGTAGTAGTTAAGGTATCAGGCTAGAAATAGAGAGACCGTGAAGTTCTAGTCCTGCCTGAGGCACGAAGCCAGCTGGGTGACCTTGGGCCGGTCCTTCTCTCTCAGCCCAGGAAGCAGACAACGGCAAACCACTTCCGAAAATCTTGCCAGGAAAACTGCAGGGACTTGTCCAGGCAGTCACCAGGAGTCAAGACTGACTTGAAGGCACCAACAAATAATAAAGTCAAGTTAGTAACCTCTTAATCTTTTTCAGGACCAATGGCTCATGTGGGTCTTCCGGGCTGTGTGGCCGTGTTCTGGAAGTTTTGGTTCCTAACGTTTCGCCAGCACCTGTGACCGGCATCTTCAGAGGACAGGAGCACAGACAGGAGCAGTTCTCTCTGTACCCAGGGTGATGTGACCCTTTTGTAGGTATTTTTCAGGACCCTCAAAGAAACCAGGGTGCAGCATGACAAAGGAAAAATTAAGCCCCTTCCTTGTTTGAGAGGGAAGTTTTTAAGGGTGAGCCACAACTCTGGGGATGCGTTCTGACAATATACCTAACTCTTATATCCATCCATCCATCCATCCATCCATCCATCCATCCATCCATCCATCCATCCATCCATCCATCCCATCCCATCCCATCCCATCCCATCCCAATAGCCATTTTCTGGGTTTTCATAGTAAGTTGAACCTAAAATAACAGAACAGGCTGAATTTGCTCAACATGCAAAAACCATCCAAAAATGGTACGATCCCCAACCACGAGCCCAGAAAATCTGAAACGAATTGAAAAGTTTATTACAGTCCAAGGACCCAAGAACAAACATAACAAAGAAACCAAGAAACACACATGGTGACATTTCGTGGGAAACAAATCCCATGAAATTTATCACTGTTGTTAGCTGCCCAGAGTTGTGTGGTGCAAGATGAATGGCAATATAAATCGAATGAATGAATGAACGAATTCATTCATTCATTCATTCATTCATTCATTCATTCATTCATTCATTCATTCATTCATTCATAAAATATTTTCTGCCTGCATCTAATCATAGCAGCCCAAAATTTGGCTCCTGCCAGAGTCTGAAGTTAGATCAGAGAAAGCCCAAAAACCATTCAACCAAAATACACACAAATCAAACTCAACACGTTGGGCTAATAAGAGCTGTTTGTCCTGACTGACCTGAACAGCCATCATGGATGTGAATTGCTGGGCTAAACCACTTGAGTGGGGCTATACCATTTCAGACAGCAGGCTCACGACACCGGAAGGAGACTCCATCAAAATTAAATGTCACCCAAGGAGAACAAAGCTTTCTCTCTTGCACACCCCAAATTCACTATAGCTCCCCAACATCTACATTTAGCTTTATCTCTGGTCTCCTTTTTGGAACGCTGAAACAGTTTCATTTGTTGGAGTTTCTGAAGAAGGAGGCACAGAAGGCCTGCAATTTGTTTTTTGGGTCTACTGCAAATCAAAGCCTGTTTGCATTGGTGGGGACCTCAGAGGTCATCTAGCCTAACCCCTACACTAAACCAACCCTGACAGGTGGTCAAGTGAAGCTCTCCATCAAAAGCTGACTGTTCTGCCGCTTCACTGCTCCTCCTGGGGGAAATGTCTTCTAACCTTCAGTTTGAACTCCCTTTCCTCTTTCACCCTGTGGGTCCTCGTCCTGTTGTGTTTTTTACAGCAAGAGATCGTTTGCATTTAAGATCCTTGTAAACTGCTATTGCATCCCCCCCCCCCCGGGTTTT